CATCATGTTTATGGAAAATTATCGCTGGAGTTTTTATCACATTGCACGTTCATTGATATCTATTGCATTGACAGTTTCAAAATAATGAACTAACCTCAGATGTGGCGTCCGATGTCTGTGGGCTATTCGAGAACATCGCGATGACGGACTTACGAGAAACGGACGATTCGGCTGTACGCCGCACACAACGCAGCTGATGATAACCCTCAAATTGCTTACCACATTAACTCTACTGCTATTAGCATTACCACAATCAGTATCACTATTGTGATTGGTATCGTTACCTCGATGACCCGTCTTATCAGTGAATTCTGTGCGACATCTGCACACAACAATTCACTGGTTGTTGGATGCTCGTCTTTCTTTTCATGTTTATAGCACTGTGCATATCCATCTTGTTGTAGTTCGCTACTCATGCCCATCACCTAAAACAAATCTTCTATCGACTTCTTCATCCGGAATAAGGTGAACGGTAAATTAGAAATGTTTCACAAATGATAAACAAGTGCAGTAAATAATAATTACTGATCATGATCAGTAGAGACATATGGTATGCAAAATGAAATAATGATCAGTATTAGCAGTAACCATCATAGCAGCAGTATCGCTGGCATCCTCGGCTTTAACACTTTCCATCACACCGATGTTGTTGAACGTTACTGCAGGATCGGCAGAAACATTCATCGCACCCTGAAACGTTATGCTTTCAGAACTTTCAGAACGTGACAGCATGCCTAAAATTGTCGAATAGCAAACTTCTGAAAGGTGCTTTCCAAGAAATGGGATCTATGAAAGCATGAAGTGAAATTATTTATTATCATTTATTGCACTTTGAAATATCCCAATTCTCCCATGTAATTGGCATCCAAATATCATTCCGATGATGTTGTTCTACTCTCCTCATACAATTCAGGAAATATTTGATTTGATACAATAAATTTCATTTGTATCCTTTCATTCCACTTCTATAATCAACATTCCTTCCTTCTCCATTCACGTTTCATCTTCTGGTTACAATGAGGTAATATAACTGTTATCAACGTTGAATGATTGTATCCTAAAGGTTACTGGACGAATGCATCCTAAAAAAAAAGTCGTATTTGAAGAAAAAGCATGATGTACCCAAGCTGGTGTGTGTTGATCACGTTGTTGCTGCGTTCCATCACCATTTGTCGCCGCAGCACTGCAACCTTCCAAAACGCTCATCAGACTGTACGTACATGTTGTTGGCACTTAAACATCTCGATTTAATAATATCTAGGAAAGCGAGCATTGATGTGAACGTGAACACATTTCCCGACGTTTATCAAGTCTTCACAGGATTTATAATCCTGCCATCTCAACAAAATTCAATGGTATTCAGAAACATTTGATGATAAGCTGAAACTTTTGATGCTAAGGCTTAGGCACAACTTCAGAGTTAAGCTTATGCCCGCTTGTTGCTTGAATGACTGAAACTCGTGTGATGAAATGACATGCAATTGTGAATTCACACGTAAAACATCACTTGATCGAATCTAATGGCACGTGTAATAAACAATTATTTACGCTGGTGTATTCACAGATAAGCATGTTCCAATAGAGGTGATTACATTGATCTGTCTGATTTTGAGGAAATTGAGCTCTCATTTTCCCGTTAATCAATTGGTATTAACCAGTTAATACTAATCGAATTTACACCCTCATAAGACCGTTAGTTCAGCAAGGCAAAGATTATGAATCGCACGCTAGCAAAATGCCTCGCTGGAATTCATCTCTAGGATAGTTCCGAACCATCTCTACCACAGTACAGAGCTTGCAAAAGTCATTCCATAAGGGAACTAATGTAAGTTTCAATAGAGCTATCTAAGGAACATAATGGTCAGCCAAAT